AGGGGGAGGATAAATGGCCGCGTGAACTACAACTGTGAGAAAATCATAACCTTTCTCGTTGTTCCGGAGGGATGAACTCGTTTGGCTTGTTCCCTATTACTTTTGGGCATTTGTGTCATCTGCATTTCGGTTGATGATGTTCTGATGCTTCTCTACTTCACTTCTCAACTTACTTGGTTTTGTTCAGCATCTGATTCCAATTTCGATTGGTTTTATCAGAGGTTGTTGCTCGATTGACATGGAACGTGTCCATTCCGATGTGGTTAAATGGACTCACGACTTGATCATGACACAATCTATCATTCGATCCCCCTATGGAATCAGAGATCCGAATTCGTTATCAGGTGAAATCCATTGATCAAAACTTTTAATGACAATAGTACACATCTTCTCAAAAACACCCTTTACCGCCGATTGATCGTAAATACCAATTTGTGATGATTTTCCAATCGGTGATCTTAATTTAATGCATCGACCGCCAACCACTATGTTATCCTGTTTTCTTTTGGAGCACAAAAGGATTATTGGAAAAGCAACGTTCTCGCGGCCCGAGAGTATTTAAATTTTGTGTTCGATAACAGCTTTAAACGCAACTCCATAAATAAAACAGAGAGAACTTATTTCTATTCCATCACGGAAAACGAGGCGAAAAAAACGGAATTTATAACGCATGAAAAAAATCAATATTTTCGTGATCGAACGTACTTTCACCTTCCTCATTGGAGGGTTATTTCCTTGGGTTTGCATTCCGACTCCGTTGAGTGGTTGTGTCAAGTGCTGATGTGCTTTTAACGGCATGTGGAAACGTTCAGCTGGATCCTTCTCACATGTTACCACGTTTATCAGTATCGATTATGAACGGAGGCATGAGGCGTCCTGATAGTGAGTAACAGCTGAGAAGACTGGATTTGACAGTGAGCTCTAATCGCCTAAGCATTCATTTCAATTGGTTCAATATGAAACGGCTAATATGTTTTTGACAAATACCGTGGCATTATTGCAATTTGAATACGAACGATCCTTGCGTTTGATTTCGGTGGTTACAACAGGGATAAAGTTGACCGTACGAAACCTGCACACAATTTCACTGATGTTTCTCCTGTTTCTTTCCTCGTTCGCTTCCGTTTTATTCATTAAATAATAATACAGTTATCCGAAAGGGGGTAGAATGACCAATCAAAAGACGATCAATCAAGTTTGTGTAACTAACATATCAAAATTAGTGAACCGACTGTAAAAACAAACATTTCTTAATAACTCGAGATTGGCGTTTCGCTTTGTCATGAAAAAATATGGTGTTGCATCTGTCGAATCTGACTTTTTCCGATGGGATCATTCAGTTCTTCAAACGATTCTGTGAACCTGCCACTGGGACGACGCAAACACAGAGGCAACGGGGATTACCGGAGCACACCTGTGATAGGCGGAAACTTTCAAGTTAAGAACGTGAGAATGCACTTTATGTTTCCCAAAGCAGCATTAGTACCAACCGTACATGATCTCTAGAATAACCAGTAATGTGCGACAAAGTGCTTTCTCACACATTCAGCTAGTGCAGCGCAGCATAGCATAGCATCTTTTAGACAAATGGTATTAGTATATATCTATTCTTTTTATTACACACCTAAGTGTGATGAATAGCAGACGGGGCAAACCCCATAGTTACGAGGATCTGCTGTTTAGTGGTGCAAACTGACAACCTTAGCCCCGGGACGCGGATTGGCGAATCACATAAGGCCCCGATAGGTTAGGTGTGGTATTGAACCGGACGACAGCAGAGCTGCTTACCACCGAAATCAGATGGCAGTGGCGGGGCTCGAACCTCAGACCATGAGGTAGAGGCATCATGCCTGTGACAGCTAATAAACCGCTGCGCCACTACCACCGAAATGGGTTACCTTGTACAGTGGGACTATACAGCTTCCCCGTTCAAAATTTATGGAGCACCGATCAGTTTGCAAATAGCTCATAGTCATTTCTGGAGATAATCTATTAGGCAGGTTCTATTCAGTTGGTCACTTCAACTGAAGCTGTAGACAAAAGCGCTAAATTTATTTCATTTGTCTTATAGAATCACTCTGTGCAATCCTTCTCTGCAGGGAGTTTGGTTTCCGAGTCAGGGAGGGTGGGAGGGAGGTAGTAAAAAGGGGATTGGACTGCACTTCCTTCGAACACCCGGTGGATACAAACTGCCCTCTCACTTGGACGACTAACCCAATCTATTCACCTGCTCACCGAAACACTCAGCGGACAAATAAGTATGTCATCCCCCATCTGCGAGCTGATACAACCGTGCCACAAAGCATTGTCCCCACAATCAAGGTCGTACGGCGGGGAGGGGAGCCGGAAACAGAACTCGTTTGAGAAACCTGATTGTCGATAGGACAGAATATTGCGACGAGGAACGGAAGTGGACGCGTATTGTCACAGATGCTTCCCAATTTGGATTCATTTTACACATACACACGACCCGAATGTGTAATCATTTACCAGGAACATGTTTTATCAATTAAAACAATTAAAACTCCGGATGGGTAGTGACAATAAAAAAACCTAACAAATCATTTTTGATTTTTTCACTTTAAAATATCTTGTTAAATTTAAAAAGATTAGACAAATTTCGTCGGATAACCAGAGAAATTCAGAGGAAAAGGTTGATAATGTTTTTTTTTTTGGGAATACACTACTCGCAGAAAGCTGTTTAGAAACCACCGGAGCGGAAACTTTTGTTCCCTCTGTTTGGAAGATAAGTTATGTCAGATTGATGGATATTACCCTCTTCTGACAAGACTTGCAGTATATATTAGTGCAACAGGATATGTGCTTCCCAATTTCCCCCTCCAATTCCAAGTGCATCTACACGATATCGTTTCGACCGAATCAGCTCGATAGAGTGAATAATGCTCAAGCACGTCCGGTGCACCGTCCTCTCGTGTGTCCAGAGAATGTTTCCCGAATTAGGATTTTGCCATTGTGTACAGCTCGTCACATCAGTCAGCGTTTTTACCCTTTCTTCATTACTATTCACTATCGCGGATTGAGTTCGTGCGAATGTGTTGGCCTGTTCCAATCAGTTTTCTGTTTTCATATTTGAGGGCAGGATGCTAATAGATAAGCCCCATCACCACTGGATCGAAGGTCCGATCACATAGCCCCTTGAGATGCTCATCCAAACGCCGTTTAAAAGCAGCGTCGGTCCCCTTGTTCATCACAGTCGCTGGAAGGGAGTTACAGAGCGTTGTT